AGCCAAGGAGATGCGTTGTGTTCCGTGTGGCAGCAGCTTTGCAAGGTCCAGTGACTTAGGAAAAGTGAAGGGGGTGGTTGGAGCTGGAGTGAGAGGACGCCAACAGCTGTGTGCACAGTTTGGAGGAAATGGTTTCTTAGCTTTTTGCAGTGATCTTGAACTTGAGATCTTAGGAGCGGCTGTAAACCCCACAAAGCCAGGTGGTTTGTGCCGCCCTTCCTGCCTTTTGTTGATGCTTGTTTTGGAGCAGTGCCCACTGCCCTGGGCAGCGTGGCCCCCAACTCAGGTTCTTCTAATGGCTGGTATTGACAGGTGGGACCCACTGTACCCAGCAGATAGTAGAACTGAGCCACCCTCAAGCCATGCTTTCGTCTGGGAAAGCAAAATTCCTGTAAGTGTGTCGTCTTGTGGTGTTTCCATGCCTGTGAATTACCAAGTGCACTTAACAGGTTCGTTAGTTTTGTTTGGAGTAATTATCCATTGAGTGGTGCTGTCGAGGTTGCTGGTTGTTTATTCTGACATCGGGGCAGATGTAATTGCTTTGACTTACAAACATTAATTATTGCAGTCACCGGGAGCTGTGTGAGAGGTACTTGCCACCTACTCAATGCTTTGCTTGCTTTCCTGGTGATTTTAAAGGAAGCGGCGGGGTGGCCAGCAGGCATATTTGGGGCTGGGAGCCAGAGTTGGCAAGGCTTTCTGGAATCCTGTGGATGAGTGTCTGCACGCTCTTTCCGTCTCCCCAGCCACCACCCCAGCCTTCCCATCCTGGCTGCTGTCGTTGCTTCTGGACGGCTGCAATGGCTGGCATCTCCTCTGCCCACTCCAGCGTTTCTCTCACTGCATGTGTCCTCGCCCAGCTTAGCACTTGCACTGGACGCCCTTCTCCAGAACTAACCCCGCACCCCTTGCCCTGGCTGCAGTGGCCTTTGTGACTCCTGGCCTCCTTGGCTGCCTGGCTTCCCTGGCAAGCTCAGGCTGGCTGGGGCTTTTCCTTGGCTCTTTGTTATGCCTGAGCTTGGTCCTGGAGACATGCCTGGGCTGTTAGTTACCGAGTCCCAGCATCCCCCACCCGCCGCGACCCCCAGCTGCTCAGTTGGAAACTGAACTTTAACCAGCACCAGGTCCATGTGTTCTAGCACTGTCCCTCATGGAAATGGTGTGGAGCCTCACCTCCTCCAGATCTTGTCTTGTTTGTCACCTTCTAGAAAGGTCTTATAGATTCCCCTGTATTAAAAACTCCCATACTCCATCCCTGCCCTAGCTTTATTTTTGCAGTATTTATTGTTATCTGAGACCCTATTACCTGTTCCCTGACTGGTTGGACCACTTCACCATGATAAATATCACCTCCACAAAAGTCAGGGTCTGGTCTCTTGTTACCGTTCCATTTCTGTTGTCTAAACACCACCTGGCTCTGGGCAGATGGTCCCCGCTGGGGTGGGCATCAGCCACATCCCTGTCTTTCTCATGTGCAAGGGCATTTCCAAGGCCTCTCATTGTCAGGCTGCGTCTAATGACTTGATGGAGCACCACCGGCTTGTCAGGGTGAAGTCAGAGGCATCTTAATCTGAAGATCCTAATAGAGATCTGTGTACTGTTAAGAATGATAAATCCGGGGGGGCTGGGGTTGTGGCTCAGCAATAGAGCACTCGCCTAGCATGTACGAGGCCCTGGGTTTGATCCTCAGCACCACGTTAAAAATAAATAAATAAATAATTAAATAAATAAATAATAAAAAACCAAAGGTATTGTGTCCAACTACAACTAAAAAAAAAAGTATTTTTTAAAAAATGATAAATTCCATTTGATTTTTCGTGTACAAATGAAAGTGCTGTTTAGTAGTTGCAAATTAGTTGTTTAAAGTTTTGGGATTATTTTCTTAGGCTAGAAACATGGCAAGTTAAAAAAACAAACAAAAACTTTTGAGAGGGACAAGAGCCCTTTTGTCTGAGCTGAGGGGGCCGAGACCTCCTTAGTGTGCCACAGTGCCTGGGTCTTCCATCTCGTTTGTTTTATGCAGGGGCACAGCCTGATGCTGTAGTCATTAAAGTCTGTGTTCTATCTTAAGAGACATACTATGAGCTGGATGCGGTGGTGCACAGCTGTAATCCCAGAGGCTTGGAGGGCTTAGGCAGGAGGATCATGAGTTCAAAGCCAGCTTCAGCAATGGTGAAGCACTAAGCAACTCAGTGAGACCCTATCTCTAAATAAAATACAAAATAGGGCTGGGGATGTGGCTCAGTGGTCAAGTGCCGGTATCCACCCCCTCCAAAAAAAAGAACTATGGCAAAAGATTATTACGAGCATCAGTTACAGCAGTGGGACTGATCATGTTACACACACACATTGCATACATTGTGCTGGTGTGGATTTCCTGGGTGTGATATTGCCCTTGAGTAAGATATAACTGTTGGGGGAAAACAGGGCTGGGGTGTACGGGAGTTGATGGCATTATCTTTGCAATTTCCTGTGAACCTATAATTACTTCAAAATAAAAATTAAAAACCAAAAGGGGTTGGTCCTTTCTAAGCATCAGGACTCCCTGGAGTGGCTGGCACTGTGGCTGGGAGTTTGGGTGTCATTCAGGAAGGACTTCTTTAGTCCCAGAGGCCCATGAGTGTTAGTTTCTCACAAAGGCAAACGAGTTCAGTGGTAGAGTTGTCTGGGGTGGATTTCCAGCTCCTAGAGGTGTCGTCCAGTGGTGGGATGCACTCCCCACAGCTTCTCATTGTTTTAAATTTATATTAAAATTCTTGCCATTGTATTAGGTGTGATTTTTTTTTTTTTTTTTTAGACATTGTCTTAACACACTATTAAAAGATTGATTCAAATAGGAATAAAGCAACCACCTGAAACATTTTAGTGCTGACCACAGAGTTGAAGATAAACAAGGAAGCCAAGGTTTGGCCGTTGATCTGTTGGTAGCCCATGAGATGAGACCTGGCAACCGAGTGTCAACATACCACACCTTTGGTTGGTTTGGGTGGATCCTACCTGTTTTGGAAAATGTTTTTCAAGCCAGGCATGGTGGTGCACACTTGTGATCTCGGCAACTCAGAGGATCATGATCTTGAGGCCAGTCTCTGCAACTTTGACCCTATCTTAAAAAATAAAGTCTGGGGTGTAGCTCAGTGGTAGAGTACCTCTGAGTTCTGCCAAAACAAAGTTCTTCCATAAATGGTGGTTAAGTTTAAGACATGTGGGAAAAAAACGTGTATAAATTTTCTTTTTCTACTCTTAAGATGATTTGTGACTTGAGTTTATACGTGGCAATTAGGAGCCAGTCGTGATGGGTGGTAAAGTTCTGGTTAAAGGATTCCAAGGGAACACATTGTACCCTCATGTACACTGGGGAACTTTCCCTCCCACAAACCTTTGCACAACTTGTTTTAAATATTTGCTATTCATATCACAGGTGGAGAGAGTGTAATTACCCATAGAAACATCCATGACAGACTGCCTAGGGGGAGGGGGACGATGGAGTGACTTCTTTGTGACTTACTTTCTCTAAGCTTTTAAGATGAATATAGAATTCTAAGTATACGATAGTTTCTGCATTTGATCCTGATGCTCTGTCTTCCAAAACTCAGTGCAGAGAAGCATAACACCCAGAAGGTGCTGTCTTTGTAGACTGAGTTATAGCCAGGTGCATTGAGAACGGGCACACAGAACCAGCCAATTCAGAGTTTTCCAGCTGAGGAAACATGGTGGAGTTGGTGGCTCACTCTGGTAAAAAGTTATATGAAACGACTCAGTTGCAGAACAACTTACAGTATGATCCTGCTGTGGAAGTCAGGTCTAGGAGTGTGTGGAGTGTTAGTGATCATCTGGGCATTGAGGAGGGCACACGCCCATGCCAGGCTACTGAGGGTGAAGGGTAAGTGGAGCAGAAGACATGCCATGGTTTTCAGCTCACTTTTACTCTCCATAAATCTGATTTTTTTTTTGTACTGAGCCTTTTTATTTTTATAACCAGGGAAGAAACCCAGTCTTGAGTTCTTTTCATTGTGAGGAAAGAAAAAGTCTTATGGCATGTTTAAAGGACTCAAGCTCATGTCCTGGGGTGGAGCGGGGACAGAAACAATATGGAGGGGGCACTTCTCTGTTGAGAGACCAAGTCTGCATTCCTAAGGAGAAGCTCCTGTGGGCCTTGGGGACAGAGACCCGAGTTTGGATCTTGGCAGCCTGTCTTACTGGTCACTCTTAGCAATATGATCTTGAGCAGAGACTGTCCAACTCTTTTCCTGTCAAGTGGGAAGAATCCATGGGGTCACAGTGCATTCTTCCACTGAAGGAAGAACAGATGGTTGAACGTGCGTGTGTGTGACTTGGTGAGATGACATCCTTCAAGTCTACACTCTGTGGTGCAGCTTGCTCCCCTGATCCTCACATCCCATCCTCAGCCAGTGTACCTGGGGAGGTGAATCAGGTGGGGTCTTGGGGTAGCATGGGATCCACGTTCCATAGTGTGATGTTGCGTAGAGATGTGAGTGGACTTGGTTAGTTGCTTCTCTCCTTGGTGCCTCAGTTTTCTCTTCTGTGAAATGGCGAGGATCCAGTCAGATGTGTACAGACACTTGACCTGGGGCCTGGCAGGTGGTGTTAGTGCATGGAGCAGTTAGTGACTATATTAAGCATGTCCCTGGGACAAATGCACGGTGCTTGGTACATGCTGCTGTTGAAGGGGAGAATATCACAGAGGGCTTGACACTGAACAGGCCCTGGGCAGACGGGAGGCACGGCGAGTGTCAGTGTCCCGAGTTGGCGGCATTGTGGCCGGTGCTTGCCTCCATTCCAGAAGGAAGGTTCTTGAAGGCATTCCACAAATATGTGCTTGGTAACAGCCCTTTCCAGCGATGATCTCTGGAATGAGAATGTTAATATTTGTAAGATGTAAAGTGTGTGTTTTTCTGTACACAGACACCCCCCCTCCCCTGCTTTGGGTCTAAATTGCCAATTTTTAAATTTATTTTTTTTTAACATTCTTGTACCTGCAGAGAAAACGAGGTGCTCAAAGTCCAGCTGAAGAAATATGTAGGAGCTGTCCAGATGCTGAAAAGAGAAGGCCCTACAGCTGAAGGTGAGGGAGACAGCCCAGGCGGGGAGGCCGAGCCGTCCCATGAACCCCTCTGACTGGCGTGTAGGCGTTGCTCGACCTTTGAGTGCATACTCAGATGAATTAGAGAAAAGGTGCTGGTGAGGGTTCCAGAGAGTCACTCACGTGGAGGAACCCGCTGTGTGTTGTTGCTAAGTGCAAACTACTGTCGTGAGACTTGCTGCTGTTACTGGGCATCGCACCAGTCTGTGCACTTGAAGGTTTGTGTCTTGGTCTTAAGGCGCTTGCATGGTGGTGCATCCCGTGGCATGATTGCTACATGGGTTGTCTTCTACCTAACAGAAGTCTGGACGTAGTCAGTCTAGTCTGAGGTGGAAGTGAGTGTATGGTGGCCATCAGGGACTTAAGCTGCTCTTGTTCTGTTGTCCTCATTGCATGCCCCCCCCCCTTTTTATTTTGAGTGTTTTGACACTAAGCTATATCTTTACCCCTTTAAAGAAGAAAAGAATTTTTTTTTTTTTTTTTAAATTTTGAGACAGAGTCTTGCTAAGTTGATCAGCTGGCCTGGAACTTGTGATCCTCCTGCCTCAGCCTCTCCTCCTGAGTGGCTGGGATTATAGGTGGCACTATCTCACCCAGCCCCTGGCATGCCCTTGTATTTTCACGATGGCTTCATGCTTCCTTTATGACAGCTGGCGTTCCAGCCATTGCATCTGACTTTCTGACTGGTAGAAGCAGGAGGTTAGACTAGCACGGAATGCATTGCACAGTTGAACTCTACAGGATTTAAAGCTTTAAAAATAATAAGCTTCCTTTGAGAAAATTCCTTCTTTCATTACTTGTACTTAAAGCCCTTTGGCTGCTCCTAATTGCAAAGAATTCTGGGAAATGTGGTTGCTTAATTGGTACATGAGGGAGGAGGGACCATTGGTATTGGATAGGTGGTTTGGGAGGGTGAGGCTGGCAGAAGTCATGTGGGAGGAGTGGGCATTGCTCAAGTCTTCCCAGGCCACCCCTTGCACATCGTTCCTGGGAAGTGTCATCAAAGCTACTATGTCATGGTCTCCAGAAGACCCAGGCCCTGGTTCTAGGCCTGGCTGTGTGTCCTGGGGGCCTCTGTAAGGGTGAATGTTTGCTCAACCTGATTTTACCCCAGCGGGATGTTTTCTTCTCAAGTCATTGCAGGAGCGGTTGGCTGGGAAGATTATCAATTCGAGATTTTTGTTCACTTCCTTTTCACTGTTTGGTAGGAAACAAAGACCCCAAAACCACACTGGAGCATCTGAGTGCATCACTCCTGCCTTGTGTGCTTAGCCCCACGGCTGGTTTTCAGAGCCTGGCGTTGCAATTCTTGTGTGTGTGTCCGTTGGCCCCTTTGGTCTTCAGCCCCTCTCCTTCCTGGAGCCTGCAGGTGCTTGTTGTGATAAAGGCCGCTCCGGTCTTGAAAACCCCTCTGTTTGAAGTTTCTAGTTACAGCTCTCCTGAGACAGCTGGTCACTTGGCTTGAGTGGGGTGACGATGGCTGGATGGCTGCCTAAATGGCTTTCTCTTGGACTGGGTGGAGCCTTAGACACCCTCCAAGGAGAGGAAGCTGGCCTTCAGGGCTGGGCTGTTCAGAGGCTGTGTTCTTGCTCTCGCTCTTGGCACTTCAGTCATAGTCCCCTCCTCTCTGTGGTATGCCCTCACACTCTGTCTGCACCTTCCTGCCACCTGGCGTGTCCACCCTGGTCACCAGTCGGCTCTCCCCGCCCCACATGTGCCTCTCTGCTTTCCCCTTGTTGGCCAGTCCCAGGGCTATGGTACTGCTGCCTATTTTATACTTGGAAGTTCTGATTTCTTCCTTTCATTATCAACATAGTTGAGAGACATTGACTAACTGTCAGTCCACGGGAGAAGGGCCTGGCTTGGTTTTCATGCCTTTGTTTACCCAGCTTCTGGGACAGTGCCTGGCTCCTTGTGGTGCTTAGGAGGTATTTGGTGAATGACTGGGTGAATGCACGAATGACTTTATTGAGCACCTTATAGTTGAACAGCTCATATGGATGAAGCCCAAACGCCAGGTCTGTGCCTGGAATAGGTAACCTTTCTGTAAGGTCCCATTTTAGGCATGTGAGTGGACTTGGCCAGATTCTTCTCTCCTTGATGCCTCAGTTGTGAGGACCCATGAAGTGAGGCCAGACTGGGTGAAAGTCCCCACCACGCTCTGTGTGCACATGTTGGTTACTGTGATTGTCATCGAGTGCTTTTCCCAAGGCACACTGGGGGGGAGTGGTGGGTGCCCGGATGTGGAGGTAAATAGTGCACCGTGTCTGCCCATCTCGAGCTCAGACTGGTGCCTGGGTGGGCAGGGTGGCCTTGGCTGGGGAGAGGGTGTTCCTGGCCTTTCCCTGCGGGAGGCCAATCCAGTGATGGGGACAGGTGGGCATGAGGACATCAGCTGTGGCATGTGCGGGGTGGCACAGTGTTTGGGGGACATTCTCAGCACGTGCTGTACCTGGATGCCTTCTCAGGTGCCCATTACCTTTCTGTTTCTCACCGATTGTTTCTGAATACTCTCACCCTTTTAGGGACCCAGTCTTTCTAGACCGTCCTCCTCCCTCTAGGAGCAGTCAGTTAGGCCAGGTGCTGCTGTGCCTTGAATTATTCCTGCCTTCATTTGCATTGGGTTTGTCTCATCCTAAGACCACCAGCGGATTGCAGGGGCTGCCCTGCGCAGTTGCGAGGCCTCGCTGTGGCCGGGCTGTCTTGGCAGAGGCTATGAGTGCGCACACCTGCAGGCCAAAGGGCCTCCAAACCCAGTGCCACCTCTTTGGGCTTGTTTCTCAGCAAGAAAAGCAGCCTGAGTTTCGTGTGTGTGTGTGTGTGTGTGTGTGTGTGTTTGTGTTTAAAGTAGTCATTATAGAGACTGAAAAAGAGGGAAGTGAGAAAGGAGAAAGCAAGAATGAGAGGCTCTTGAGCTTCGTGTTCTGGCGCATGCCCTTCCAGTTTGGCTGGCTGTGCCCTGTGCCCTTACCAGTGCTCTGGGGAGAACAGCCCCTGTCTGGAGGGCTTGGAGCCTTTGGGTTGAGAAGAAAGCCGAGGACACAAGCACCAATGACACATAACTGACATAACTTTCAGTATAGAAAGCAGGTCATGGTGCGTTATGAGGTAAACAACATCAGGTCCCTGCTGGCAGCCTGTTATACCTGTGCCCAGGGTGAGGGAAATGGGTGGATGGCATGCAGGCTGTCTGCTGCGTCTTGCTTCCTTCACCTCTCCCCCGAGGGAACCAGAACAGTTTGCGTTCTGCAGTCCACCGTGGCGCAGAGCTTCAGACTGGGGGTTTTGGCACAGAAAGTTCTGTGCTGACTTTGCTATCAGTTGACCTAGCAGGTTGCCCTGTCCCCTGCCTCTGGCCTTCCATTGTGGATCAGCACTCTGAGTCCTCAAGTGCACTAACCGTGGCTTCTGAAGTCACCTCTGACCCTGTCGTGTGGCCACACCACCTGTGAGGGATGCCGGGAGGACTCATATCTTCCCAGCTGGCTTGTAGCCATCCACGTTGGTGTCCTGCTGAGGAGAGAGTGGCCGCTACGAGATCCTGTCCGCTTCTGCCACACTCGTGAATTAGCAGCCACTCTGCTGTGGCTGAGCCACAGGGGAGGAGGTCCAGTGTGGCTTGTGATGCAGTAATGGGTCAGTTTTGACAGGGAATGTGGAAGATGGTTTCCACCCAGTTCTTTGAAGCCTACGGGGTTCAGGGAACAGCATGTCGCTGGCAGCCCTCACCTGTTGGGGTGGAACAGGGGTCTTCCTTCTCCTTATGTCGAAGCAGTGGGCTGGCCAGTTGCTTTCTGTCCTCTGTCCATTTTCCTGGGAGTTGAGGGTGCCCCTAAGGCATGAGGATTGGATTTTCTATGGGAATGTGCTCTATTTGGCCGATGTCAAGGGAATGTTTAGAGTAGAATTTAGATCCAGGCCCACATCTTGGCCTAATGCTTAGTTGTCGTGTCATTTGAAACTTGCATAAACTGTCCTTACCCCTCACCCCATGGTCACTGACTGGTTCAATTCATGGGGCATTCCAGGCTTGCACGCTTAAATTTTAGGCCACTCCTCTCTATCGATTGCCTTCTCACTGGGAAAGAGAATGAAAGTTATTTTCTTGGTTTCTCATGACTTGCTATCATTTCTACCTTTTGGGAAACTTTCTAGCTGGAAGTTCTCACATGACAGTTGGCATCCAATTAATTATGAATTATGGAAGGGCTTGTTAGTTACAATAAAAATATTGGCTGGATATATTACAGAAAATAGATTTTAGTGAAAGCAATCACTAGAAACCTATTTCATACAGTTGTTAAATAATTAAATATTTTATCCGAATTTTAAAAAAAAGTGTGTACTCTAACAAGTCCAGCAACGTGGAGCTAGGTGACACTAATGACCCTCCTCAGGGCTGGCCCTGTGGGTGACTGGAGTTGACTGATGGATGTCACCACGCAGACCTACACTCTGCAGTTGTGTGCCTGTTCTACTTGTCCCCAAGTGGAGTTATAGTTGGACAGGGCTGGCACACTGGTCCGTGACCGTGCCACCTTTCTGTGGGCGAAGCTCTTCCAGAGCCCAGCCACGTCCGCTCATCACGTTGCCTCTGTCTACCTTGAGCTGAGGCGGAGGACTTAAAAGGTCAGCAAGGACCACGTGGCCTGGAGCCCAGATGTGCCACCTGGCTCTTTGAGGAGGAGCTTGCAGGCCTTGCTTCCTTGGGCAACAGTGGGTCACCTCACTGTGGTGAGTGTCCGTTTGGTCAGTAGCTACAGCCCTAGGTCATTCTTTTTAACACTGTATATTGGAGACATCGTGTGCTTATGCTGGAACTTTTAAAGTCGTCTTGATGGGTGGTGCTCAGGTTGGGGTTTGTACTACAGACTATAATGCAGCGAGCTCCTCCCCACACATCCTCCTGTCCTGGATTGATTTTGGAGGATACAGGGAAGTGCAGTCACAAAGCCCAAGTGTGTGGGCAGCATCTGCCTGTT